ATAAAAATTTGTTTATTTAACCGACACATATTTATTTTAAACATTACATCATAAAAACACACCGACATCACAAGGTAAGGCATATAGGGGGATTCCACGTCAAGTGTACACAAGGTTCTGACATGACCATAACAGATTTTGATGATTTTTGGTGTGCAAGTTAACCATGACGAAAAAATGAGATTTGCAAAATTTTAGCTACTGGGGGCCCAATGGGGCCCCTTCAGGGGCGTCCCAAAATTTGGGCCTTTTTGGCTGACCTTCAAACTTTGAAAATCCATAACTTCGCCCCTAGTAATCCTACTTACATGAAATTGGTATCAAATTGTTCAGAAAACAGATCTTTCTAATGACCGGAAGCGCGAACTCAACAGAACAAAATCCAGGCAGATTGTGTTTGACTTTGAACCCGCGCCTCCGTAAAGGGGCAGATTCGATTTGGCCAATTTTTCGTATGAACATTGCCCCAACTATGATTAACGAACACACAAAAAATTAAAATGGGATCTCCGTGGGAACAGATTTCAGGAGCCGGTCAAGTCAGGTGCTACACAGTTATTCAAGGTCAAACACAATCTGCCTGGATTTTGTTCAGTCGAGTTCGTGCTTCCGGTCATCAGAAAGATCTCTGTTTTCTGAACAATTTGATACCAATTTCATGTAAGTAGGATTACTAGGGGCGAAGTTATGGATTTTCAAAGTTTGAAGGTCAGCCGAAAAGGCCCAAATTTTGGGATGCCCCTGAAGGGGCCCCATGGAGCCCCCAGCGCTAAAATTTTGCACATCACGTTCTTTCGTCATGGTCAACTTGCACACCAAAAATCATCAAAATCTGTGATGGTCATGTCAAAATCGCCCTTATTTTGTGTACACTTGACATGGAATGCCCCTATATAAATTCGTTTCAGATATAAATATTAAAAATCCAACATCTGTTTCACCATATAGTGATCTTGAAACATAATCCCATGACAATGACAGGCATACAGATACCTGTCGTCGTATGAATCCTGAAAAATATTTCACCGTATCGCAACAGGTCAGTACTTAAACTAACACTTATTAAAGTATTTAAACACGGTTCAGTGAATCTAACATCGGCGGCAAAACTGAACGATGACCCACAACTATGCATAGTAATATCTGAACATAGCAGGGATCTTAATCGGCTGTTTTTTGTCGGCTTTAGCCGATTGATCTTTAATCTAGCCGATTGGTAAAACAATGAACCGGCCACTAAGGTATCACAAATCAATCTACTTTCGGCCGATTTACAAAGAATTAATTATCAGGCCGATTGTTAAAACAATGAACCGGCCACTATGGTATCATAAACCAATCTACTTTCGGCTGATCACAAAGAGTTAATTATTACTCGTCGATTAAGAAACACATCAAAGAGTCAATCATTACAATGAATACCTTCGGCTTATTTCATAAATAAACAACTTAATTGAGGTAATCATGCCAAGTACTTGAACACCTCGCAGAATGACACCAGGAAACGTAAACGAGATTTAACTGAAGATAGTGATGTCGGTGTTGACCTTGAACTTCAGGCATGCACGTCGTCAATGGAAGTTCCAAAACCCGGAGATCCTCCCACGTCCAATATAGGTCAACCAAATTATCGGCAATAAAAGACCGTATTAATCTGACGATCATACCTGCGCAGCAAAGAAAGACGATGACAGAACAAGAGTTTAATTCCCAAATCTATAGAAATTGTTTCAAACCGGGCGTTAATCCGAAATGCGTATTTTATAGCAAAAAGAAACACTGCCATTGAAAATATGAACAATAATTGAACGATTTGACAGAACAGCAGGGACATGAAATGACAAAAAAATTATATCGTGATTTTAATTGTTGTGGTGAATTTATTTCTTTAATATCCAGTGAAATTGAGGAAGAGATCCTCTCAGATATCCGAACTAGTCCTGCTACATTAAATCCCGACAATTGTATACAGGTAACGCTAAAAATAAACTAACCGGAATCCCGACAATTGGCCATGTGACCTTTCGCCCGTACAGCATATTTCCGAGTTCCAACTATACACGGAAACCGATTTGTGCTACTTTGTTATTTATATACTTATATAGGTCTACTTTGTTATTTTTATATATATTAACATGTGCTTACGAATATAATAATTTAAAAAAACATTTATATGTACTTGTAGTTTTTACTAATTTATAACTTCCGTTTAGTTGGATGAAACCAAAAGTAGGAATATGCAATGCAAGTTGCTGAAATAATAGTATGACTATAAATGTCGATATTATAGCGATGTTTGCAATTACAAAGATCTTGTTTATACGGAGTTTCAGCTATTATTATCCCAAATACATTATGCAATTAGTGAATTATGCAATTACTGTCGTGAATAGAGTATGCATAAACTAACATGTTTGTTGTTGAAAAGACGACTATCCGTTAGGCCTAACCGTGGCCGGTTCATTTCAAAATGGATTAAGAACCCTGGAACATAGCACAAGAAATTGGATGTTTGACAACAAAATTAAACGCCTTGCGTAATTGGACACATTGACTAATTTTGATTGAACACTATTAGCAGAAATTCAACTCTAGTTATGAATATTTGAACACCGAACAGAAATCGCCGCTATTTACGCAAGATTAAACAATACGAATTTACCAGTGCTACCTCAATTAGAAGGAGAGTTATTGTTTTCCAAAGTCTCGACAAATCAAACTGCTTATCACTCTGCTTACCCAGAGCAGAAAATGCTCATCATCGAACTTAGTCAAGGTATTGATGTGATAAAACTATACACCAACACATGTAAGCAGAGCGATAAGCAATTTGATGGGTCGAGACTTTGGAACACAATAACTCTCATTCTAATTGAGCTAGAATGTTCACACTTGGCGTAGGTGTTTATTAGGTGAATGCCTTGACAGAATTCGGAGTTAGAAGATGAGAATTTTCTGCTTAGAGTAAGCAGTGATAAGCAATTTGATTGGTTGATGTTTTGGGACACGATAACTTTAGTTTTAATTAAGTGAGAGTGAGGACACTTGGTGTATAGTTTTAGCACATCAATACCTTGACTAAGTTCCATAATAAGGATTTTCTGCTTAGCACAAGCAGAGCGATAAGCAATTTGATTGGTCGAGACTTTGGAACACAATAACTCTCCTTCTAGTTGAGGTAGAGTGTTCAAACTTGGTGTAGGCGTTCATTGGGTAAATGCATCGATGGAGTTCGATGATAAACATTGTCTGCTTACGGTAGGCAAAGATAAGCAATCTGATTGGTTGATGCTTTGGGGCCAATAACTTTAGTTTTAATTAAGTGAGAGTGATGAAACTCATTCATTATATCATTACCCATCTTCAACAGAAGGCTTGATCTCGCTTTAACCACGTACATCTTATCAAGGCCTTCACGTAATACCCTGCATATTTCGGCACTAATTTCGATTGGGTATTCACCCAGCTTGTTAGCCTATCAGATTCCTCGATCATTGCGAATACCAAGTCTCGCGCTTTCAAGCTAAAATGTCTACCTGTGATAATCGAGTTGCAAAGTTCAAGCTTCATTCAATGTCAAGGTTTTTGTGGAGGTCGCGATATCACAACTTCTGCTTGGACGCTACTGCTCACGTGTCTGTAGGTAACATAGCTATAAGTTCGGGAATTGTGAAGTAAATAAGCAACGTTCAAATGCTGTAAAACTTGCAGTCGTTGCTTCAGGAACATGATCATTACCTTGACTAAGTTTGATGAGAATTTTCTGCTTAGACTAAGGATCGATAAGCAATTTAATTGGTCAAGACTTTGGAAAATAACTCTTTTAATTGAGATAGAATGTTTAAACTTGATGTTCATTACATGTAGGTGAATGTCTTGACTGAGTTCAATGATTAACATTTCGAGCTAAAGCTAAACAGTGCTAAGCAATTTTATTGGTCGATGCTTTGGGACCAGATAACTTTGATTCTATCTGATAGAGAGTGATGAGACTTGGTGTATAGTTGATAATCGGTTTGATTGCTTGATACTTTTGAAAAAATATATGTGCAATTAATTTGTGTCATCTATTTATTTTGGGATTTCGGCGGGGGACATCACACTGTAAACCAGGTATCATTTAATCTTGTGTATCTAGCACTAATTTCTTTCACATTCGTTTAATATCAAATCATTGTTTAAAAATTCATAAAAACTGTTTAAAATCACCATAAATCGTTTAATTTGTACTTCTGTCCAGATTAAAGCTTGACCATTCAATTTTGATAAGGAGTGTCCAATTTACAAGTGTTTAATTTCTCAATCACTGTTAAAATATAAAGAACCCAATTGATTAATGATGTATAATGGTTAATTTTTGAACAGTGGTCAGGAAATTAAATACTTGTAAATTAAACACTCATTATCAAAATTAATCAGTCAGCTTTTAACTGTACACAAGTACAAATTAGATGATTTTTGGTGACTTTAAACGATTTTTAAACAAAGATTTGATATTAAACCAATGTGAAAGAAATTGGTGCTAGATACACAAGATTAAATGATACCTGGGTTACAGTGTCAGCCTCACTTGGCTTGTTTAAACCAAAGTTATCGTGTCCCAAAGCGTCAAACAATCAAATTACTTGTCTCTGCTTAGCCTAAGCAGAAAATATTCATCTTCAAACTCCATCAAGGTATTCACCTAATAAACACCTACATCAAATTTGAACATTCTAGCTCAAAACAAAACGTGTGACGGATGGATGCAGGTGCCAGACACATTCTAATAATCCCCTGCTTTCTTCGAAAGGCAATAGTGTTTTATTCTTTAAATAAAGAGCATTACATATGATTACATATGTAACCAATTTCAATCCCTCATAATGCTTTAGACCTGAATGCCCGATTTTCTTTTATCTCAAAATAAATTGGTTAGGTTTAGCTTGGTTATCCACTCAATTTGAGTTATCAATTGTGACCCAGTGTTAGAAAAGCTGATCAATTTAAATAATACATACTTTCTGGTGTTTCTTCTGAAGCTGGGCTTGATTTCTCAAAATAACCACAGTTGTTGAGCAATGTTAAAAGGTCTTTGATTTGTTTGTAAGTAGAGCCAACAATTTCTTTGTGACTGCTGTCTAATAAGTTGACAAGATGTACTGAAGCTGCCATTGTTTGTTCTCTATAATTACCAGTTCCTTCTCTTGACGGACATATCAACTGGTAAAATTCATCTAGCTGCTTCAAATTCTCTTCAGTTAATACCTACAAAAAAAAAAAAATTTAACATTTGTTAAATCTAGACATTTGATATTGTGATACCTTAATCTCCAAAATATAACATTCGTGTACTTGGCCCATTTTCTATGCAATTGTAACTGCCAAATTTGATCTAATGTACAGAAATATTAATTGTACATTAAGGCATTTGTTAAAGATAGGTTGGTAGGATTCGAAACATACGCCCACAGCAGCTAAAATCGTTCGGACAGTCAACAAGAGTTGTCGCATATTTTTACTTTTGTCGGTAATGAAACATTTATAATACACTAAAATCTGAATTTAGAGTAACAACTCATTAAGTAATTTTTAAAAAATCATTAGAATTTGTCCATGCCTACAGCACCTAAATCGTCCAAGCAGTCGACAAGGGTTGTCGCATATGTATTCCTTTGTAGGTAATTGGGGGCCTTACAAGACAGTTCCATACAGATCAGATTATAATTTTTGCCGTTTGAGGGTTACAAGGTTCTACAAACTGAAACAAGGGTCTCAACTCTGGAAGTTGTTGAAATTTGACAGGCTTTTTCGTTTTACTAATTTAAATAATGCATATAAATTTCATCGAGATTAGATGATCACTTTTGTCACAAGGTTCACAACTGCCATAACTCTTGAAATTATTGACGGAAATTGCTGAAATTCAATAGACCTCTGTTTCACAAATTTAAATGATGCATATAAATTTCATACATATCGGATGATAACTTTCATCAATCGAGCATTAACAAGGTTGAACAAAGTGAAACAAGGGCCATAACTCTAGAAGTAATAAACAGAAATTGATGAAATTCAATAGGATTTTTCTCTTTACTAATTTAAATGACGCATGCAAATTTCATACAGATCGGTAGATAAATTTTGATGTTAGAGCATTCACAAGGTTCAGTAAAGTGAAACAAGGGCCATGACTCTAGACATAATAAACGGAAATTGCTGAAATTCAATAGGATTCTTCGTTTCACTAATTAAAATAATGCATATAAATTTCAGAAAGATTGGATGATAACTTTTAGCATTAGAGCGTTCACAAGGTTAAATAAAGTGAAACAAGGGCCATAACTCTAGAAGTAATCAACGGAAATTACTGAAATTCAATAGGCTTCTTCGTTTCCCTAATTTAAATATTGCATATAAATATGCGACGGCAAGATACGTCCACATTTCTATGTGGGCATATAAAAACTATTGAAAATCAATATTCTTTTTCGTTTCAAGACCTTAAACTCTGTGTCAAGCCAAAGTCAGAGTTTCCGATAACCGGTATTTTCCGGTTTTATACCGGTCAATTATAACGTGTAGGTCAGCAAAATTTAATATACGTCTCTGCGTAATCGTTTATCATAGCACCCTAGTTTTTGTCCGTCACCTTTTAGTTTTTATTCATTTGACGATGATAGACAAACGACACAATGATCATGTGACAACCACAATTGAAATTTCTTTAAAATAATTTTTTTTTTTTTGACTATGTCATAGCCTTTAATAATATCGACAACATTTATAAAACAAAGCTTCTATCAGCATGTAGTATTGTACAAAGTAAAAAAAATCATAACGTTAAACAGTATTTGAAACTAAAGCTAACTTTGCTGATTCATTGACCCAATTCCAGCGATGTCACGTGTCATCGGTATTCCGAGATTTTATCGGAAAAATATGTTATTAATGACTGTTTCTCGGAATATTCGGTGTTCTATCAGTGGATTATATTCAATGAAGATTTAAATTGAACTAACAACTGGTCTGTGAAACTATCACATGTATGATCCAATTATTATTTTAATATCTACCTGGAATTGATATGGAGCATCAATTAAAGACGTGCGATTCTCGAGATTCACAATACAATCCATGACGAGATCCGCCTGGCATATTTTCACAATGTGTTCAAATTCTCACAACATGTTTCAATGAAGGGTTTATTTATTTGAATACATTTACAAGATTGATTAGCTGTAAAATTTTGTTTTCATCAGACTGGTAAAATTACGAGTGGACTGGTACCGGTAAATTTTTTAAGCTAGCGGAAACACTAGTATTGTTGTAATGAAACTATACACCAAGTTTCATCATTCTCACTTACTGTCTGTTCCAAGAGATACTCTCAAATTCCTTGCCATTTCTTCAGTTTTTAATTTAAACGGCCAAAAATTGGTGACATACCTGAAATTGTCATGTCGAGCCCTAACGCCTAAAAGTTCGATAAGATCCACTCTCCTCTTGGAAATTTTACATATTTCGACAACGTTTCTTTCTCAAAACATCAACATTACGAGTGCGTCTGCGTAATGGGAGACTTGCATTTCGCGTATAGGGTAGACAGGCATCTCCTAATCGGGTACATTCGGTTAGAAATATATAAAGAAGGAAAATTCGCCCGTTTCTTTTGCGGCAGTAATACTTAGATTTCAGACTGTGGATCATGTTTTTTGGTCGGATTAATATTATGTTCTGTTTTAACCCGCTTATTTTGCAGAAACTGTGCATAAGGCCACTCGGTTTTTGGGAGTAAAGTCTAGAGATATGACATTTTTATAAACACTTTATTAGTTTTCCAAAGTACATAGGTTCTGATCAGCTGTATATAAATATTCAAAATATATATAGGTAGTTTTGTGTGAGTCACTTTTCAAAAGAATAAAATATTGTTCTATTTTAATGCTCGATTTGATACTGCAACTGTTCATTATTGTAACATTCTTGTCATTAGAAATGGCATCATTTTGGCACGTTTAGCCCTTATTAAACAAACTTTAATTTCAAATGTACCTGTTTGTTCATAATTAAATTTTAAAACTTTAATTCCACAAATCGAAAAGCACAAACCACTGCGAACATATGAATATATCAAAAGATAGTCTGTAACTATATGCAATAGTCCAAAGTACCTTTTTACGTTGTTTACCCAACCACATCTACAGTGATTTTGAAAAAAAAAACCCAACATATTTTCAACCCTTAAAGCAAACATGTTTTTTTCTAAAGAGTGTTATTCATTGCCATTTAATAATGCTGTTTACTAATTTCGTTTAAGTAATATTGTGTAGATATACGACCAAGCATTGGTCATTTTGTAAGGGTTCCTCACGTTAACATGCTATCATAAATGGCAGTTTCGCCTAAATATATAATAGTTAACACGTGTAACATGCTCATGGGAATATGTTAAGTGACGTCTGTTAAAGGATTATGAGCACCGGTGAAACCCGTCATGACTGCATCGCAGTTAAAGTTTTCCATAATTTTCTGAGCTCTTTCTAAACCCCCTTTTTGCAAAATAAATACCGCTATTTTAATATTCGTCACAGTTCATGGGAATATGTTAAGTGACGTCCGTTAAAGGATTATGAGCACCGGTGAAACCCGTCATGACTGCATCGCAGTTAAAGTTTTCCATAATTTTCTGAGCTCTTTCTAAACCCCCTTTTTGCAAAATAAATACCGCTATTTTAATATTCGTCACAGTTCACTGCTGGATCTTAGATATTCATAGTATTGTTATTTGACAACAGTTCAGATTTATTTCAGATATTCAGCTAGAAAAGACAAAAAAAGCGAATCTTTGAAAATATAACCCCTTGAATAATTGATTATTGTTATCTACAGTTTATTATTTGAAGATGAAAATTGCGCGAGATGTCAAGGAATGAACCAAACTATTATGTAGTTATTTCGAGAAATAGAATTATTTACTCCTCGCAGTGTTTCATTTGAATAGATCTAATCCCACTTAACACTGCTGTAATGGGAGCAAATTTCTGTTCCAAATTATGACTGGTCAATAGTCCGATTAAAAACCAATAGCTAACTGCGTAACAATTTCATTAGGCTTTAAACAGAGCTCCAAATTGGACCAAATATCTTTACATAACGTTACGACATGACTCAAGAAATTTACGCCCAATTAACCAGTCCAAAATTGCAGAAAAACTTATTGCGTCACAAACAAGGCTGTCAAAACGGATACAATATAAACAATACTGTTTGGGGACGAATAATACTTTCTCTGTTTTTAATACTTAAATCACTGTCCAAAGTTTCAGGGAAGACCCCAGATCAGTGATGGGATTTCAAAATTTTACTTGTCGGACATTTTACCGAAAATAAAGGGGCATAACTATTATCGTTATTTAAGCAGACGAATTCGTACCACAATTAAAAGTCACATGTCAAAATATTCAAATCCCGTACGTATTAAAAATAGGTGAACCTCACTATTTTTCATATTTAATTCCCGTACAGTATTCAATTCATACCACAATTAAAAACCACATGTCAACAAAATATTCAAATCCCGTACGTAATAAAAATTGGTGACCTCGATATTTTTCACACTTAATTCCCATACGGCATTCAAATTTATGTCAGTAAATGTCCTACAAAATTAAGCATTTTCGTGATATGTTGAATGAAAGCTTGCCGATCCTGCTTCGGCATCAAATTCCCAACCATAATATTCCTTTAGAATTATGTGTCTTCGTTTATACGGCAGCAAATGAATGCAGAACTTCCGAAATAGTTAAATCACTTGTAAACAGGCATAGCTAACTTCAGCGAATAACACTCTTTGATAGTCACGACAGAGTGACAGGCATCATAGGCAACACAGCAGAATGATTGACGCCTACAAATACGTAAGAATTTGTGCTCATATAGCTATTGGTAGCCCCTCCCCTTTTTGTTATTTTGCTGGGTGCGTACTAGTCTCGGTCACCCAGAAACTCCTAGTCTTCAACAAATTCGTAGAATATTTTTCTGGATAATAGAGACTAATAGCCTACGTGACTCATCACACGGCTTCATAGTAAGCACTGCCTAATAATATGTTAAGCAATATTCGTGCCGCGCTCGAGATCAAGGGAAAGTGCCACTGTGGATGAGAATTTCTATATGGATTCTTAAAAGACGTAAAAGATATCGAAGACAAAATGACTGTCCATTGATTTAGGGTGTTATTTACTCTTACGATATGTGACATCAATGATTAGTTTTTTATAGATGATGTCGGCTCACATCAATGCGATTAAGATGCCCGACAAATGAGAAACCACGAGGTTTATAATCATTCTTATTGAATTGATGAATAGTCCGACAAAAGGAAAGCAATGACTTCTGTTTAAGATTAGATTGATGAATTGTCCGACAAAGGATTAAGTCAGTCAATCAAGGCAGATTAAGTAGTTAAATCAAGGTAGGTTTATACTATAGACGGTATAACCCGATAAATACGTTGATCACTTAATTACCTAATAAACCCAGCGTATTATAGACGATAATAGGGTTGAGTGGTAGTTATACACTCAGTAAACTATATTAATTTCGGAATTTTGAATATTATTCACCTTGTCTTGATGTCCGATTGGGCATATTCCCGGTCGGACAATTTTGGGCGTTTGGAAAAAAGATTCGGACAAGTCCGGAATATACGGGCAAAATCCCATCACTGCCCCAGATTAAACGAAGCGCTGTGATGTTGCTGTACTTGGGATAGATTTGATTGAACGGGAAGAATAGACACACTCCAGCAAAAGCTCAAGTATCCGAAGTCAATCCAGCAATGGCCAGAAAGGGATTTCTCGAGACAATAGATTCAGGAATATGTGTTATGCGTTGCATAACCTTGATTGAAGATATGAAATGAAATGATGTGATTGATGTTTAATGGCACGCCAGCATCAACCGGGCGCAATCTGGTTAATAATAAAACACAGATCCTATTTCGTTTCGTTTTTATAGTTCCAAAAAAACGAAACGAAATATAAATCTGTATTTTAATCAGATTGAACCGGGCGATAATACGCCAGACATAATTATATAAAAATCGTTTTATTTTTGTTGTAGGCTAAATTCAACTTTAAATTGTCTATAGGCAAAGTCGTAAGCAAGGGAATAACTTATATTAACTATGCAATCCGCGATTACTTTTGCATATTATGGCCCAAGTTATTGTGTACGCCTACAGCCCCCTTCAAAATTTCCATCACATGCAGTTCAGGATAAAATTTGTACGCAGTTTATATGAATATCAAAACGCTACAGCCCTCGGGGCCAATTAAATATTCAACTCAGTTGGACAAACTGCAGTGGTCTTGGATTCCGTAAAAATAAAAGTTATATTTTACTGGGCCGAAACAACTTCCTTGACAACCAAGTAGACCGAAACGACTCGAGCCAAACCAACGCCCCCTCCCTCTTCGACTCTTCCGGATAACTAGGTCAAACATGGCTGATGTTCAACAGCGGGATGTAAACAAAACTATGATTTTTCACGAGAGAGAGGTTATATAGCTTTATCTGAATTTGGTTTCCTCGTGTAAGAAAGTAATGGGATGGCAATTCCAGGTATGTCACTAAGTTTTAGTCGTCTAAATTAAAAATTGAAGAAATGGCAAGCAATTTTCGTGTCGTAGTGTCACCTGGAACAGACAGTAATTAGAACTAAAGTTATCTCTCACATAATTAGAACTAAAGTTATCTCTCACTTAATTAGAACTAAAGTTATCGTGTGCCAAAGCATCAACCAATCAAATTGTTTATCTCTGCTTACCCTAAGCTAAAAATGCCCATCTTCGAACTCCATCAAGGTCTCCACCAATCAAATTGTCGTTAGAGCATTCACAAGGTAGAACAAAGTGAAACAAGGGCCATAACTCATGACATAATTAACGAAAATTGCTATAATTCAAAAGGCTTCTTCATTTCACTAATTTAAATGATGCATATCAATTTCAAACAGTTCGGATAACTTTTGTCGTTCAAGCGTTCACAAGATTCAACAAGATGGCTAGTCATCACCCCATCCCTCGCCCTTGAACTTGTTTGGAAGGCATAAGGAAAAACAACTTCTTGGAATATCAATGGGACTAGTCAGAAGATTCATACTCTGATCATAGTAGCTCGGCAAGGCAGGGTTGCTACTCCCTGTAAAGGTTTGCACAACAACCTTTGCCTACCTCAATCAGCTGCTGTATGTTAACCCATTTTTGACAATAGCGAAACAACTCGCACCAAGTGACTCACGGTAGCGAATAAACTCGCAGACCCATCATTCTTGCCAATTATCGAATAAAAAACATACGTTTCAACAAAGGATCTTCCAGTATTTACGTAATAGGTCAGAGGTGAAAATTCACACCGTGTCAATGACTTTGGCAGTATTCCAATATTTTCATGTTGTCACTTACGGCTAATAATTTTATAATATGAAGAGTGAAATGAAATCAGATTTTTTATGATTTACTGCCAGGCATATCGTAGAATATGATAATGTCGAAGAAATCAACTATTTGTTATTTTTTTTTGACGTTATAATGCGAAGAATACGGATACTCGAGCCGAGATCAAGCGTTTCGCCGCCATCTTGGATACGGTGCGCTTTCAAACAGACGATAACACAAAACTTACGGCTAATAATTCTAGATTTTGGAAAACTAAATTGAATCAAAACTTTTGGGATTTAATACAAGCTACATAGAGGAATATTACATTGTCGAAGATTTCAACTATATATTTTTATTTTCGACACAATAAAGCAAAGAAGACGACCATATATCCAAAGAAAGGCAGAAATGTTAAAATGCCGATAGCGATGAAGTGACCGTCACTTGGGGTGATATTTCTTTTTAAAAGTTATATTTACATTTACTTTGAACACTGCTGCCAACGTGAGGGACTATATTTGTGTTCTATTTTTTAAAAAAAATTATTAGGGGATACTTATTCACGTTATTTTACCATTATGACAGAGAAATGTCATAATTTTAGTGGAACTGACTTTTCAATGTTATTTATAGTAATATAATTTCTACTTTGTAAAATTGAATTTTATATCATTGGAAAGAACACGACAATCTGTACATTTTTGTAACAAGAGTATTTCTATGTATAGAAAATATTTTTTTAGTCATTTGCAATTTTGTAGAGGGTATTAGGATTAACAATAATCCACTAATTGGCTTAGGAAATGGGACCTGCTGATTTAATTAGCTTAGGGGTAGGGTAGCTAATCTTTTAATTGGCTCAGGGTTAAATGGGTTAACCAACTAACTTATACATCAGAAAATAAAATACTATAATAGGTTAATGTTTGTACAAAGTTTCAAAAAGATTTCTTGAACAGATAATAAAATATGCTCCAGAAACAAAATCAGGACGGAAGGCTGGATTTCAGAAAATAAAATAATGGGTAAAATTATTTTAAAGGTATCTTGAATAGTCAAATGTGTTTCCATGGAAATTCAAAATAAGTGCCAAGAAGATATCTTGAACAATTTATGAGATATGCTTCGGAAACAAAATTGTACACCAAAAACTAAGTCAAATTTGTTTCCATGGAAACACACAAAATATCAATCCCAGAAATTCCTAAATAGCAAAAGGCACAGCTACTGTAAGAGTAGATGTCTGTACAAAGTTTCAAAAAGATATCTTGAACGGTTTATGAGATATGCTCCGGAAACAAAATTATACACCAAAATTTGTTTCCATGGAAACACAAAAAAATATAAATCCCAGAAATTCCTAAATAGCAAAAGGCACAACTACTGTAATAGGTTGATGTGAGTGCAAAGTTTCAGAAAGATATCTTGAACGGTTTATGAGATATGCTCCGGAAACAAAATTGTACACCAAAAACTAAGTCAAATTTGTTTCCATGGAAACACAAAAAATATTAATCCCAGAAATTCCTAAATAGCAAAAGGCACAACTACTGTAATAGGTTGATATGTGTGCAAAGTTTCAGAAAGATATCTTGAACGGTTTATGAGATATGCTCCGGAAACGTAATCGGACGGACAGACCTCATTTCAATATCCCTCCCTAACTTCGTTTGGCGCGGGATAACAAAGCTAAACAAGGGCCATAACTCTAGATGTAACTAACGGAAATTGCTGAAATTCAATAGGCTTCTTTGTTTTACTAATCTAAATGATGCATATAAATTTCATACAGATCGGTTGATAACTTTTGTCGTTAGAGCCTTCACAAGGTGCAACAAAGTGAAACAAGGGCCATAACTCCAAAATAAATTAACAGAAATTATTGAAATCAAATAGGCTTCTTCATCTTACTAATGCAAACAACATATATCAATTTCAAAGCAATCAGATCATAAATGTAGTCTGTAGAGTGTTCACAAGAAATTGTGGATGACAGACGGACGTATAAAAATGTTGTACCATTTTGAAGGAAATTAAATTCTCCTTAAAATGAAATTAACTTGTCAGATTAATTTTGAACTTTGTAGCATTAAGTTTTTCTCCTAAGGTCAATTTGAAATTTTTTTCACAAATTGTTGACTCCATTGGATAGAGAATTTAATTTGCTTTCAGAAAATCATAAGTTGATAGGTTTTGAGCTATAATCATATGAACATTTCGCATTTTTTTCGATGTTTTTTCTGAATATTGTCAGGATTTGGCGTCATGCATTTTAAAACTCACTAGTAATGAAAGGGTTAATCGAGCAGGATATCGGGGGCAACTCCTATAAACGAGTTGGAAAATGACGATGAATGCATACAAAGGAACTGCATTATTTTAATGTCAATTCCACAAGGGATTTTATTAAATGTAAAGTTTGTTATTTTTCTAAATAATACTTAAATACTATCTTTGTAAAGGAAAGAACATTTTTGTGTAGAAAACCATCTGGTATGGCATTTTTATTACGGTGCATAAACACTTGATAAGTGTGTACATGGCCAAATACAACCGCACAATTTTTTTTTATTTTGCAATATAGCAATTGTCCTGCTGGCAACTGTCTTGCTCCCTTTCTATTTAGGTGACATTTAACAGAAACAAATTGTCAAAACTTACAACTGCTCCATGTTTCCCTGTTTGTAGGTCACTACGAACAGTTTCTGATCCCAAACTATCTAACAGACTTTGTAGTTCTATCAATTCCTGTACTCTTCTCATTTCCATCACTCTCTTCTCCATACGTTCTTTCTTCAATCTTTTCTTTTGTAACCTTTCCACCTAAAAATAAAAATTTCCAGTGTAAGCTAAAATACAAAGTCTTAGGCATCCTTCTACAGCACCTTGTGAAACACAGGCCATACCATAAATGTGTCAAATCTAACTGCGATCTCCAGGAAGTGGGTCAAACCTTAACTGTAATAATAATTACCGATATATAGCCTTATCAAGCTTTATAAATATATTTCTTAATGAAATATCAAGCTCTATATAAGGGGGCGGTGTTATTTTACAAATATTGATGTTCAAATTCGGCGCCCCCTTCAAAAGTTGTAGTTACCCTACCCATGTACACACCACTTGAAGAGAGTAGGGGTTAAACGGAGGGTGATAATTTAGATTTCATTAAAATCTTCATTACTTTTCCTTGTATAAATCTCATCTTGACTCTATATTAGAGTTTTCAGGGTCGCTGAGTTCATTGGTGATGTTAAATTTAAGATTTGAAAATCCAAAATGGCAGAAATCCAAGATGGCGGTAATATTTCCACAAATTCCAAAGTGTTGATATTTTCTCAGTGTTTAATGACCTAACATTTTACTGTTACATTTACTTGCAAGGGATTATCCATTGTGGTTGATATTTATATCAGTAAATTAAAATGATTTAAGTAATTAATGGCTGAATTTGCCAGTGGACTCTTATCTTTCAAAAAAACCATCATAACTAATATGATGTATCTGATGAGACCAACTAGGACTGGTCAAAGTGGACATTCTAGAAATAATGCAGCTCTAGTTTTTGCATATGTGCTTTCAGAACACTATATTTTCATTTTTCCTTGCATGGCGCGTTTGGATGAGATTTTGAAATCTTGTGTAAGGAGTTAGTATATTTGTTTTGATATATTTGGTAGAGATAGTATACTAATACTATATGTTGCAAAAAAAAAACCACTATCTTCAGGGGGTGTGTACAGGGAGGTGGGGGGGGTGTCAGGAAAAAAAAAAAAAAAAAAAAAATGTTCATACATGGGTAACTACAACTTTTGGAGGGGGCCCCGAAAAAATTCATATTTAACACCACCCCCTATCTATATAAATTTGTTTTGAATTACATAAGCCTTTATATCAATTAAACTTTAAATTGCATTAATTATAAAGTAAACAATAAAGTGGGGGACCATTCAGGACTATATCTTATCTGGGTCAGTCTTAAAAAGCTTTATAATTTTAAACATAACATTTCTACTCGAATGTCCTTTCAAATAAAAATGTATTGCAACCGGTTTGGTCTGTTGTGTCTAATGTCTGCATAGTGTTCCTTTATTCTTTTTGAAAAGGCACATTTGTCACGTATTGGGGTTTTTATTTACAAATATATGTAGACTTTATTTCTACTCAGACAATTACAACTAGTGCGGCAAAAAAATTTCTTACCAGTTTTACCACGAATAAAGTAGTAATTTATTGCAGATATAACAATCTTTCTTCATACATTTTTCGAATAAATTTTGGACTGTAACTCTGCACTTTTGCGGATTCCTCAGTGGGTATATAAGTTTCAATTTCATTAGCGTATCTTTTAGATTAGAGTTTGTTCTAAATGCTGTGATGGGTTTAATATCTGAGAGAACGGCCCATTTCCGAACGAATTAATAGGCACCATTTCTCTTTTATGAGCTTGCTAACATGAACAGCAGACGGATTATAATCCATGATAAAAACAAGTGACTTTCGTTTCTTCAAAATGGTTGCCATAGTCGGGCATAACAGGTCTTTTCTGGTTAAAGATTTTGCCCTGTTCTTATTATCTATCACTACTCTGCGTGGAAAGCCCCTTTTTAGATAAAAATTGAGAATGTTTTGGCTATGTCTCTCATCAATCTGGTTAAAACACAGATCCTATTTCGTTTCGTTTTTACAGTTCAAAATTTCGTTTTACTTGTCTTTACTACACTTGGATCTTGAAGACTTGTTATTTAACTCGTGTTCTGCTTGAAATGAGGGGTCAGCCAATCAAATGGTCTGACGAATCGAGTGTTTGACCTTTTTTGCCTTGAACTGTGGGTAATCCACTAGTAACATCAACGCTATAACGTAGGCCATCGAAAGTATAAAAAAACGAAACGAAATATAGATCTGTATTTTAATCAGATTGGTCTTTCATAGTCTATATCTACAAATTAGTTCATAGAAGGTAGGAGTGTGAATGGGTGGGTTTGTTATACAAATCGAAATGTAACTTGTTTGTAATTTGACCCATGTCTCTAGAAAACATTTTTCTCTAGAGTATTCTGCAGTGAACTTGATTGTTTCGTGCATAGAATTCATATCTTTTATAATCTTTTTAATCTAGCCTCAGAGGGGACCTCATGGCCGTGCCAGAGATTTGATGCAAAATTTCATCATTGAATGTAAACACATTATTCTGTAGAACAAATTCTAAGAGTTTAAACATGTAGATGGGTGAAATGTTCCATCTGGTTTGTGTTTTCTTATTGCCCGGGCAACAGGGATAGAAACTAACGCTCACCCGGTCGCCCATGGCGAGTAAAAGTCAGTACGGGCGAATGAAATTCAAAATCAATTAGCTCGTGTGGCGACCTGATATTTTGGTAGTTGTAATAATTGATAATTTGTACTTAATGAACACTGTCATGAAACTAACTTCGAAAATCGTCGCCATCACTATTTACATGTTTTTAATCTTTGGCTGTTCCATTTCGCTTTACCGGTATGAAATCTGAGTAAGCGAGCTTGCTGATTGGTTGAAATTGTATGATAACGAGGGAGGGTATAGAACAGCCTCTGTTTACACCTCGAGGAATTATGAAGTGAAAGTCGATATAATTGAATAACTTTTCGGTCATATTTCAGGTTAATTAACATAAATCGCCTAACCTAATCGTTGAAATATATACATGAAGCAAGTTAACGAAGAACATGGATGTTAAAAGGTTTTATAACAGCGATATATTACGGCAATGACCCTCGTAATACACGTGCTCTGCTATAAATAACTTCATCACTCAGTGACAACTTATATTAAATTTTAAGGACATTACATCATATTATTTTGCACATCACAATTGAATTTATAAAACATAAATGAAATATAAATACAAATGAGGCCCCTGAAAAAATCTATTGTATTGAAGATTAAACTTCCAAAGGACAAATATGAAATATGAAATGAAATGTGCCAAATTGAATTTTAATATATTATATATGTCTTCATGACTGATTAATGAATTCATTATTTGATGGAAAAACAGAGGCAACAATGAACAAAGTCTATTTGTTGTATTATTAAATGTGCCAAAATAAATTTAAGTGCATGTATTTTGGTGTTTTTGATTGATTAATGATGAACAAAACAACAGTCTAAATCAGAATTTTTACATCTAGTGTCAGTTTCTTACATTGTACTATGGGCTAGTAGAATGTTGGCTGGGCTAGTAAGATCTGAAAGCTACTAGCGCATGCGCGTTGTATTATTAAGTCTGTCAGAGTCGACTGGCGTGGTTTCGATTCCCCAGTTGTACGTGACAAGGAGTAGGGTTGTCAGTTTAACCTAGTGGGTTTTCTGTGGGTCCTCTGGTTTCTTCCAAATGCTAAAGACCTCTACATTGATGCGAAATATTGAAATTAAACCATATGTTTGTCCCGAAATTTTGAAATTGAATTAGTAACCTCAAGCGCGTAATTAGAGTTTACATTGAAAATCGATATCGTAATCAAGACTAAAGTCATATAGGCCTATTCATTATTCTAAGGGTTCTTCGGTTTCCTCCCAATGCGAAAGACCCCTATGCGCATGAGCAAATTATTGAAATAAAATTAAACCACATGTTAGTCCCGAAATCACCTGGTTTTTGTCGATTGGAAGTTAAACCCCATTTCTCTCTCTCATTTTATCTGTTAGTTACTAAAACCCATATTTTGGTTAACAGCAAAACACTCGTAGTTCAAATATTGTTACTGTGAAAAGAAAGATAGGTTGCCAGGCAACGAAACATACGCCCACAGCAGCTATATTGTCCGGGCAGTCAACAAGAGTAGTCGCACTTTTAATTTTTTCGGTAATGAAACATTTATAATACATTAAAATCTGATTAGGAGTAACAACTCATTAAGTAATTATAAGAAAACCATTAGAATTTGTTTGGTTTTTATAAAGTTCTGCCCCATGCTAACGTTTAGTATACGAAACTTTTAACATCATGGATTTAGCTGTTCAAGTCAAAAAGATTCATTGAAAATCAATATACTTGTTCATCTCAAGACCTTAAACTCTGTATCAATCTGAAGTCAATCAGATGATAACTTTAGCCTCTAGAGCGTCACAAGATTTTTCAAAGTGATCAAGGGCCATAACTTTGGCAGTAATTATCCAAAATCGTTGAAAATCATTATGATTCTTCATCTCATGACCTCAAACACTGTGTATAAATCGGATATTAACTTTAGTCTCTAGAGCATCCACAAGATTTTTCAAAGTGATCAAGGGCCATAACTTTGGCAGTAATTATCCAAAATCGTTGAAAATCATTATGATTCTTCATCTCATGACCTCAAACACTGTGTATAAATCGGATATTAACTTTAGTCTCTAGAGCATCCACAAGATTTTTCTAAGTGATCAAGGGCCATAACTTTGGCAGTAATTATCGAAAATCGCTGAAAATTAATAGGATTCTTTGTCTCATGACCTTAAACACTCCACAAGATTTTTCAAAGTGATCAAGGGCCATAACTTTGGCAGTAATTATCGAAAATCGCTGAAAATCAATAGGATTCTTTGTCTCATGACCTTAAACACTGTATAAATTTAAAGTCAATCGGATATTAATTTTAGCCTATAGAGCGGCCACAAGCAATTGTGGATGCTGGATACGCTTTTTTCCTACTCCCGATATTTATGACCATTGTTTCATACACAAGAATAACGATTAGAATCTCTAAACAAGAAGTTTTCGTGCACGTTAAACATTTACACCATTTCTGGTCCGCTCACAACCTTCGCTTCTTACAGTTTGTGAGATCTAAGAAAAATG